CCCCAAGTAATGTACCTCTGGTTACACACATTGTTTCCACGTTAACATAAGTTGTAACTAGAAATGTAAATGAATTTTCAAAATGCTTTTATAAAATGCCATACTAAAGCTCCCGCTCTAAATGCAGTCAATCAGCTACTGTAACAGAGGTTACGTGTGAAGTTTCAACCATTTTATAATCTTACTCTGATCCATAAGTTAATAATTTATTTTTAAGTGTTATGGTGTACAACTACGACACATACTTCGAGCTGCTTCGCGGTGGTGCAAGTACATACAAATGTAGGTAGGTGATGTCATACAAAGGAAACAAGTATTGCTTTCAAGTTAAAATTATGTGACATTGTTTTGACCTCGTCATTGAAAACAGGGATACGCTCACCTAATTGTTAGGGGTATACTGAGAGTATTAGAATACTACACACTACTGCTAGCCCAGTAAATGTGATTATAACGGCCCGGGGTACTACCCTATCAACAATTCCAATTACACAATTTCCGTGGATTAGCGTACGATCGTACGATTCAGTAATGACTTACCATTTACCGTACGTGAAGCTATTCCCAACATATATTATCGCTATCTACCATTTCTATGACAGAAGTAACTAAGTTTTAGTGCAAATGCCTCAAACAAACCAGTGCACGTGATTTACCTCGGCGCGGTCCAATTAACCTTCTTATATTTGCGCAATGCAAAAGGTCAATCAACGATAGTGGATAACAGTTGACAGGGCGTATATCACTTGCACTCATATACAATGCATTTGGCACACAAGTGTGCTTTGTTAATTTGTGGAATGGTCATTTTGATAAAATGCGCTATTTTTCGCTGTTTATGCTTCCTTTTAAAGGACATCGGGCGGGGTCGCGCTTTCATTAATTTAAGTTGTTTTGTCGGCAAACTTAGTTGGGAATCCTTTCATTTTTGGGTAACTTGGCCAATAAAAAATATGAAACTTACGGCGTTTGCGAATTATACAGATCTTAAACTTTTCGTTTATCAGCGACGTTATGTTACAATAAATCACGTCATGCCATGTTGATTCGGGAGTACGCTAAACACGACCATGGAATTACAATGGTTTTTAGTTCCATGACTCGTCTAACCTGAGTCTTAAATTATTCAATATAACATACGAAGCATTTATTACATGTAATAAAATGTACTACATTATAAAACTATTTTCAGATTGTTAACTAAATGGCATGAATGAACGGAATAAACCACATTATTATACATCTGTCACCGTAACGCCGTAAGTTACAGCGTGCCGTAATTCTGTGGTATTTTACGGGTATTTTCATCCTACCATATAAGGAAATGCAAATTCTAAATATAGAATGATTACGCGCGTAAGCGTTCTCTAATAAAAAAAAAAAAAAAAAAAAAACTAACATGGCTGCCACGAGAGTTTAGCCGGGCTCCACACAAAGAATTTCGCTGATTCTGTTCTAAACTTTTTGGATTTCGGCATTCCCATGATGTATCCTTGGAAGGAAAAGATGTATAATAATAAGGTTTTTACGAGGATACCTCAAAGTATGCGCTCTGACAGTACGCCGTCGCATCGACCTCCGCTACGCGTCGGTCTATTCTACCGCTGTATTGTCTTCGTAACATACTTTAAGCATGGAAGGTAATTACCTTCCATGCTTTAAGGTATCCTCATAATAACCTCATATAGCTCTTGACTGTAACATACAGCCCAGCAACGCAATAGTAATTTGAACGATTAATTGGTTCACATAGAGGTCAGGGGTAACTTAGAGAAGTGTGACATTTATTGCGGTCACTAATTGTATTTTTTGGTGTTTTGGTACTATTACAGTCACGTTGTGTCACTCATAATGTGATTTATTGAATCACATGTAATAAATCAAGAAATTGTACATTGGTTCTACACTACGTCCACTGGGTAAGCACTTAATGGTATACTGCGCCATTACATTTCAGAGGGCATAGCTTTTCAGAAAAACAAGTTAATTTTCTATGATTTCTCTCTCGGCATAGTATCATTGCTTTGGTGCGGTATGTTAACGGCGTTTGCGTGCGGTGTGTTAATGGCGGGTCCTGCAGTATTCTCGTGGATATAAAATACTCTAATTTACGCCCACTGCTGTAGACGTCTCGACAGATCTTATCTGAGTTTGCACACAATCAATAGTACAGTCAATATGCACAGTTTTCTGCAGTCACTTTTAATGGGCACTGTCCTACACTATTCTAATAAAACAGTATTCTAACGAAGCAATCAACTAAAAAACTATTTTCTTTTGCCGAACACTGCCATTTGTTGTGGAGTTATATTTCAAAAATTGTCCTTAAAAATTCTTTAAAATAATCTTGCATCCAGACGGTGATCCGGATCACCACCAACATTTAATGGATCCTTGGGCTAAGACGCAGCTTTGAAAACAATTTGGTGTTTATTGCATGTATATAGCTGTATTTTCATTTGTTCAGTGTTTGAAAGACCACCTTCAATTTTGTTTTTGTTCTGGGCCATTTAGTGTCCATACTTTTGCCAGGATTCGGATCAAACACTGATATCTTATAAAACGCAATGGATTTAGTATGGAGTTATATACACATATCTCTCAGTCAAACCAATAAACAAAATTCAAATTAAGATAATTACACTGGGGCATTCATCATACCTCTCGTGACTCCGCGGATTGATACACATCATAATGTGAAACCGTCACCTACATCGCACACAGTTGCAAACACGCGCATTATGACTCGCGATTATAACTAGTGATTTATCGCCACAAAAAGCCTCGCACTATGATCTATATAACCAAGCACGACACATATTTGTTTTTTGTGTGTGTGTGTGTTTACAATCTTGCCATTATATGTGCACTGGAATTTTAGAAGCTCACTAAACACTGGTCGCTAAACATTCATAGTTTTCTGAGTATCCATGTCGCCTTAAGCACATAAAAATAGAGTCGTGTACTTACAGTAGCCATTTATCTTTTGGAGTTCCCGATGTGCATGATGCTGTGCCGAGCAGATATCGCGGTGAGAAACACTTTTAATTAATATTCAACGTCCGTGGCTATGCATGTGCAAATGCGCCCTTTTCCGGTTATTTCTGTTAAATCCATTTCA